TCTCAAGTTGGTGGGGAAGGAATGGCACATACAGATGTCATTTAGGAATGGCAAATGACGGATGCTTGTTATTGGTTAGAATCAAGCATGTCCACGGCAATGGTCTTTGTTTTGGGGACATGTACCATGGTTGTTCATATCATTTTCAGAGATCAGCTCTTTCTGTTGGTACTACCATGCATAGTTGTCTTTGGGGCGTTTTGTACTCTGAAATCAAGCAATGACTATCTCTCTGAGGGCATATCTAGCAAATCCCCTAAAATTTAGAGGAGCAAACGATCGAGTATGCTTTAGAGGAGTACTTTTGCTCCACTGAAAAATGGTCGTTTCTAACCAATCTTCTAAATTTAGCGGAGTAAATTTTTGTTTGGGTCATATATTTCGAACACTTACTGTGTGGTGCAGCGACGATGGTGACCACGGCAGCAACATCAGAGAGCACGTCGGACACGCCTGTCGCAGTGGGTCACATGGGCCGTCGTCGCTGTCGGTGCATGCAGCACCCCACCCCACCCCAACTAACAACTGTCCAAGATTTTATGCCATGTCACTCTTTTCACGGCCATTAAGCCCCCTCCAACGATCGGCCTCCCAAAATTTACGTACAGTACAGGCTTTATGCTATGGTAATTTTTTTACGGCCATTAGATTTAAAAAATCAGTACTACAACATGGCCCAAAGCCCAACAGACACGAGAGTTATAAATGGCTAATTGCTGCACGATCGTCTTCACCTATACAGTTACGTGATCGCGGCCGAACTTATAAGTCGAAAAGGAGATGAAAATTCCTTAGTAAGCGGCCCCCGCGCCGCGTCGTCCGCTTCGGGCGACTCGGCCGGCGACTAGGGTTTCCCCGTCGCGCCGCCGCTCCCTCACCCTCCCTCCCTCGCCGCCACCTGAGAAAGCCGCCGGATCCGCTCGCGCGGCCGCCCGTGATGGTGGCGGCGAGGCCTCGGCCGCTCCTTTCCTCAAAGAGGACCTTGGATCTGGGGCGGCGGCCCTTCTTGGCGAGGCGGCGGCGCCTTTCGGCCGGCGTCGTTCGCGGGGTGCTCTGGCCGGCGGCCTCGACCACGCGGGTGGTGAGACGACGGCGGGTGGCGGCGGAGGTCTTCCCCTCCTCGTCAAATCTGAGGGTGGCTCCTTTCCCCTGTCTCCCTCGTCCCCGCCACTTCTCGCCAGCCTCCTCCCGAGCGCCGGTATGATGTGGGTGGGTGTTCAGTGGTCTGGTTTTGGGTCGCGGGAAACCGTTGGCCGGCTTGGCCGGCCTGGCAGCATCGACGTCCCTAACGCCGTCTTCTCCTTGGAGGTGCTGCAGAGGTCGTTCCCCTTTCCACCCCTGTTCCTCCTCCCGGGTGAAAGTCCAAAATCCGGCTTGGATTGGGCGGCGACGGCGCGCTATGCGTCGTGTCTTCCTTGGGGGCGCCGCCTGGGGAGGGTTGCGCTCAGGTGAGTGGTTCAAGGTCGGAGCTTGGGTGGCTTGGGTGGTCCGGTGACGGCGGTGTCACGAGGTTCTCCTCATTGGCCTGCCGGTTTACTTGATGCCTCTGCTGCCTTTCTTCAGTAGCTGCACCTGGTGGTTTTCCTGCAGCTCTCCGGCGTTCTAGGTTGTGGCGATGCGGCAGTCGCGGAGTGCTCGAATGTTCAAGTGGTGGTGTGCTGCGGCTGCTCCAGGTCCCGAAGCTAGCACGTCCCCTGCTCTAGGGTGAGCGTCTCTCAAGTCCGCCGGGTACGGTGCCTTGCGAGCCATGGCGAGAGGGAATGGTCCCTCTGCGGCAAGAGAGACGGCGGATGTGTGATGTCTTTCTACTTGGGCGTTGGTCGGACTCACTTGCCACACTCTGTTGCAAGCAGATCCTCGTCGTGCTCGTGTGTGCCTCACCCCTAGATGGTTGTTTGGCTGTAGTCTTCGGCTAGGACAAGCTTCGAACTTTGTTTTCTTGTATTTTTTTTGAGCTTGTGCGACCCGTTGAGTTGTAAGCCTCCTAAAGTGTCCCCTTATATCGTTTGGTCGTGGGGTTTGTGTGTGTTTGTATTTTCTGACCGGTTGATGGCTTTGTTAATTTAAAGCCGGGCTCTTCGCAAGCCTTCGTTATAAAAAAAAACGTGATCGTGGCATGAGCGGCTGAGCCCTAGAGGATTCGATCCTAATATCTCCGCTGCCACTCGATTCCTACAATCAGCCAGCGTTCGGAAGCGGTTACCGGTGGCGAACGTTGCGTTTCCTTCTCCAGCGTCAAAACAAGGGCAAGCCATGATGCCGCGATGACTGCCGCTGTCCGCTGATCACCCTAAGCCTGTGCCATGCTCCAAGGAACTCACCACTAGATTGATTCGAAAGGTATGTTTATACCTATATTAATTCATTATCGGCTGCTCTCATCTAATACAGTAGTGTGTAGTAATCCTGTGGTTAGTAGCAGTTGTTGTGTTTACTACAGTAGATGATATAAATCTAATTAATTCAGTTTTCTAGATTTTATCTATACTTCCTAGATAAAAATATGAACAAAGAACCTTTTTCCAAGTCACTTGCTTCAAAGCAGTTCTTTGGATTAATCGTATATATAATCCGATTGTGTAGGTAAGAGTAAATTACACAAAACCACCAGTTTGAAGGTTAGGTTTGCGAAAAACACTACAATACATTTTTTTTGCAGAAAACACCATGTCTTTAGTAATCCTTTTTTACAAAAACCATTGATCAACGGATCTTGCTCTGTTAAGTAAGATTATGACAGATGGGCCCTGTTTTTCACTAACATGGCACAACGTTTTACTAAAGACAGCGCTAGATGGGTAAAAAAACAAAAACACCCGCAAGTTTTCCCCCCCTGTGTTGTCCAGTCCCTTGCCCTGTCCTGCCATCACGCGCCAGAGGAGAGGAGCTCCCCATGCGCCAGCAGCCGCCGTGCTCATTCTCGATGACGCTGGTCACCACCATGCGCCAGCCGCCGCCGTGCTCACCTCCCTGCCCTACCGTGCTCCCGCCTCTGTTGCACTACACCCGCCCGCCACCGCCCTGCCAGCCGCGCCGCCGCCGCCTCTGCTCGGCCGCGCCTCGCCGCCACCCGCACCTGCCGTCATGTCAGCCGCATCACCACCGCCCTGCTCCGCCCGCGCCCATCGCCGCCCTGCCGACCATGCCGCCGCCGCACTGCTCTGCCCGCCGCTGCCGCGCTCCGAGGAGGGAGATGGAGAGAGGAGGCTATGCTCCGCGTCCCCCGAGCGAAGGATCTGGCGGGAGAGATGGGGATCGAAGGAAGAGAAGGGAGCGAAGGGAGTGGGGCGGTGGTCGTGGTGGGCTAATTGCATTTTTTATTTTTTATTCAGGGGTTTCTGTGTAAAAACAAAGGGCTAGTTTGTTAATTGAGAATAAAAGTGATCTGGCACGAAATGTTACGCCATGTATGTAAAAAAGGGCCTCAACTGTCATAAGCGTACTCAGTGAAGCCAAATTCGCTCATCAGTGGTTTTTACAAAAAGATTACTGAAGACATTGTGTTTTCTGTTAAAAAAAGTATTGTTGTGTTTTTCGCAAATCTAAGCTTCAAACTGGTGGTTTTCTGCAATTTATTCTGTTGGTAATCGTAGAGCTAAGTGCAAAAAGTGTTTCATACACCAATTAAGCGTGGATTTGATTATATACAATCTGAGTCCTAGAAGAGGCAGAACCGTAAACGCCCGACGGTAACAGCGACGAGAAGAAGCCAAGGCAAGGGTGCAGGGGAAGAAGCACGACGGGTTGGTCGTGTTGGTCTACATCAACCGTGAGCTATCTGCTTAGAAGTTTTATGTTCTTTCTACTTTGTTAGAGATATATTTGGTATTTAGAGATTGAACGGGATTAGATAGGAATTGTTTCCATCTTATCTTTAGGAGGCGTCTTGTTCTTCAAGTCTTGTACTTGATATATACTCGTCCTTGAGACTCAATAATACATCCAACGCATTACGCCAATTATCTTCTCTCTATCCTCTTACATTCTTTACAGGGCGAAGCTAGAAAAATTATGCATTGTGTTCATCTCAGTAAATCTAGGTTCTCAAAGTAAGAAATACATGGGCTTAGATGGGGCAGAAGAACATGGTTAGGTTGGTCACAATGGGGAGGAACTTAGGAGTAACATCACACACTCCAATACAACTTTGCTTATGTGGCACATATTTAATGAAGAGAGAGGTGCTTGTGGTAACTAGCTAAGTTACCGAAACATCACACACTCCAAGAAACAATGAGTCTATAACCTAATAAATACATCGTTGCATGACACTACATAGATGTTCCTACCCACTATGGAGGTAGTAACATAGTCTAGGGAAGTGTGTAAGTTACTAGCTTATGTTCTTGCCCATTGTGACCAGCCTTAGAGGGGGGAGGGGGGGTTACAAATGGGCCAATAGC